ACGTTCGATCATCGGATCACGTGACCATCACATCACCTCCGCAATCGGGAGCAATCGATGCAGTGTTTCGTGAAGACGTTTCTCTGCTGCGTCGTTGTCGGCGTCGGCGTCACGGCGTTGTTGTGCTCGTACTTGTACAACGAGATGCAGCTTCAGCTGCCCAGCTGGCCCGCGGTGCGTTTCGGCTCTCACGCAAACACAGGTGCGATGCATTTTGCCTTTTAGCGGTACCCAGAGCGGCTAGTGATGACGTCATGAAGCGCGTCTGCTAGACGGTCTCGTGCGCGGATGCTATTCTCACGAGAAATTTGCTCGTTTAAATTTTTTAGTATCTTTAGCGTCAGGAGTTAGTATTATGCGGATTCAATGGCCCTCGGTCGGGCGGTCGGTCGGTCGGTCGGTCGGTCGGTCGGTCGGGCAGTCCGTCGGTCGGTCGGTCGGGCGGGCGGTCGGGCGATTGGTCGGTCGGGCGGGCGGGTGGTCGGGTGGTCGGGAGGTCAGCCGGCCGGGCGGTCAGTAGGTCGGGAGGTCGGTCGGTCGATCGGTCGGTCGGTCGGTCGGTCGGTCGGTCGGTCGGTCGGTCGGTCGGGCGGTCAGTCGGTCGGTCGGTCGGTCGGTCAGTCGGTCGGTCGGTCGGGCGGTCAGTCGGGTGGTCGGTCGGTCGGGCGATCGGACGGGCGGGTGGGCGGGCGGTCGGTCGGTCGGTCGGTTGGTCGGCCGGTCGGTCGTCATAGAAAACTCGTAAAGGGATGGAAAGGGAACGAGTGTTAAACAGATTTAAGCGGATATAAGGGCGGATGTAAGGGCGGAAGGTGTTAACGTTAACGCTAAGATAACACTCACGATTAATGTCATGACTAATATTATTTCTGACGCTTTTTTTTCTCCAGGGCAGCAGTTACTTGCCAGCTCGGTTCCAGCGGGGTTCAAGATCATCACTTTCGGATCGTCGTATTACTCGCACGACAAATGGCCGATTCTAAGCCAAACCAAACAATTCAGCCACTGTCCAACCCGCGCCTGCTTCATCTTCCCGCAATCGTACTACTACGAGCATCAATGGCTGCGTGACACCGCAGATGCCGTCATCTTTCATCCAAGAGACCGGTTCCTCTCGCAAAAACTTCATTGGCTGTCCGTTAGGGCGCGCCCGCAGCGGCAGCGATGGATCACGCACATACAGGAGTCTCCCTTGAACATCGATGGAGCGACGTCACGACTTCGTCTCGTGTGCAACTGGACGATGAGTTACCGTAGCGATGCGGATATCTACGCTCCGTACGGACAATTCTACTTCAACGTAAATGCGTCATCGTCTTCAGTAGACAGTGTTAGACCAGGTCAGTGTGTGTTATTAGACCAGGTCAGTGTGTGTTATTAGACCAGGTCAGTGTGTGTTATTAGACCAGGTCAGTGTGTGTTATTAGACCAGGTCAGTGTGTGTTATTAGACCAGGTCAGCGTGTGTTATTAGACCAGGTCAGTGTGTGTTATTAGACCAGGTCAGTGTGTGTTATTAGACCAGGTCATTGTGTGTTATTAGACCAGGTCAGTGTGTGTTATTAGACCAGGTCAGTGTGCGTTATTAGACCCCTAAGACCAGGTCAGTGTGTGTGTCATTAGACCAGGTCAGTGTGTGTTATTAGACCAGGTCAGTGTGTGTTATTAGGTTTAGGAATGGGGGCAGCAAAATTAAAAAATAAGCTTAGCTAATAATCGTAAATAACCCTAACGTAATTTTTGTGGCCACTTATCCGTGAAAGCTTTGTCTCAGACCCACTCCTACCACACTATGGACTTCGATGAAGAGCTGCGCCCGTCGGTCATCATTACACAGTTGAGTCATGAATTCCCCCCCCCCTAGGAATTTGCTCAGCCTACGATCCTGGTTACGCGTGCATGCACTACCATCATTAACGTATCTTCCCTCGCTGCATGTAGATCAGAAGTAGATAATAGGAAAGTCCCTATTATCTACTTCTGATGTAGATCTACTACTATACAACCGTATATATCCTCCTCTCTTGCAGACAGAGATTATGGCGATGGAAAGACGGGCTTCGTCGCAATCGTGGTTAGCCATTGCAGCACGCCCAACAGACGCGAGCTGTACTGGGAGACGCTGAGTAAATATGTACCAGTAGACGTCTACGGTCTGTGCAGGTCAGAGAATTTAATATTGTGCTCCTATAATATCTATATTAATAATTATATTATATCCTATATATTCTATATTCTATATACATAATATATATAATATATTATATCCTTAATATATATTATGTCTCACTCTATAACTGACCATGGGCGTCTTGATATTTTTCTCCGCATTGCATTCTTCTCATGTCGATATAGTGTGAAACTCTATCGCTTCTCGTTGACTCGTTGTTGTTTTGTTATTACAGTAAGTCGAACAGTTCGTGCACCGGTCCGCAAAACCATCCATCTTGCATGGAGGACATCGTGAAACGCTACAAGTTCTACCTAGCCTTCGAGAACAGCAACTGCAGGGAGTACATAACTGAAAAGTTCTGGCACAATGCGCTCGAGTGGGACGTCGTTCCCATAGTGAGAGGAGCACCGAGGACAGACTACGAACGGTTTGCTCCTCCTGGCTCCTTCATCCACGTCAACGATTTCAGTTCCGTTGAGAAGCTGGCTGAGTATTTACAAGAGTTGAACGTCGACAGTGAGGCCTACAATAAATACTTTAGATGGAAGCAGCTAGGCTGGATTTCGAATAACATCAGTGCGTCATTCTGCAGATTGTGTGAGGCACTGCACGATGTGACTAGACCCGTGAAAAGTTATGGGTATCTTAACCAATGGTGGAACGAAAGTGACTGTTGGAAACAGCGAGGGTTTACGAGTGTAGGATGATAAACCTACTAATTTACGATAAACCTGTGTTATCACTTTCTCAACGCAAACAGGTGTTGTACTGCAATGGAATCTGAGTATGGAATATAGAACGCACAGTATTTTATTATTTTTACAATATAATTCTCTGTATGAAACAAATATGACTGGAATTTTTTACTACAATGCAAAACCGTGTTTGTAAGGCATTTGTCTCTGGAAAAGAGTACACATAATAAGGTAATGCGACTATTGGAACAACGCTGAATAGAAAATAAGGTACACCAATTATCCCCAAGTATAAAGCATTCAACCTCGATATGTTCTATGGCGAGAACATACACTCGTGTACTTCATGACTTGGCTAACGACGTCGTCTTTGGGTATAAACAAACCTCGACGCTGCCAACTTCTTCAGACAACTTTGCTCACCGCTGCTGCTACTGCTACTGCTGCTGCTACTGCTACTGCTGCTACTACTGCTGCTGCTGCTGTTGCTACTGCTGTTAATGCTACTGCTGCTACTGCTGCTGCTACTGTTGCAACTTTGTACTTCTTTCTCTTACAAAAACACGCACACACGCGCACGGACACACACACACACGCACGGACACACTCACACACATACACAGACACACGCGCATGCACGCACGCACGCACACACACACACACACACACACACACACACACAC